CCCCCCCCCAAAGCCACAGCAACCATCGGCGGCGGCGGCGGCATCGTCGTCTTCTCCGGCGTGGTCTCCGTTTACTCCGATGATCGGATCGAAGCCTCCGGCGAGGTTGGGGAAAGACGAGGTTCATCTCTCGCTGTCCCTTCTCTCGATTCGGTACTACGAGAAGATGAATTTCGGTAAGAGAGGGAAATGATGAATCTGGATAATCTCTGCAACTGCTTTGCCTGCTGCGTTAGTCGTCGATTTCGTACCCTTTTTCAGCTTTTTCTTAGGTTTCGGAATTCAGGATCTGATAATTTTTTCCATCAATGGAAAAAGAAATGGACATTTCAATCTGGGATTTGCTGATCGAATCGGACTTCGTCATATCATTACCATTTGCGATCCTTGAAATTTCTTGTAAGATATGCTTTGTATTTTTTTTTTCCCGTGAATGTTCTATATTTGATCTGCTGCTATGTAATGTTCTTGTTCTAATTTTCATTTTGGGTCGTTGTAATTATTTGATCAATTAGCAATCCAATTTAATGCGAAGAACCAAATTGGCAAATGGACACCCATCCGCCAGACTGTCACAGACGTGGATGAAATAAAATCATATTTACATAAATTTGGTTACACTTGTGAATCAAATACCCTCTATGGAGATTTTGACATTTTCTGTAATCCAAATCAAAAGCTTTGATTTCGAATTAACCGATTCCAACTAAAATCCAAATTTCAGAAACTGGGTTCCAACTAATGTACTTGAATGTTGTGTCTTTGAGCTAAATCAATGTCTTATATGATTCAGTTCTGGGAATTGGTGCTTTCCCCTTTTACCAAATATGTAATATATATATATATATATATATATATATATGTTGGAGTCTTGACCTTTTTTGCGTGGTAGGAGGGTTCTCAATTTTACTCTGCATTATTTGTATGTAGATATGGGCTCGGCCCATATTTTACAGGATAGGGCCCATTACAAGGAATCTTTATCAGCATGGGCCTAATGAATAATGGGCCAATGAATGCAAACTCAATTTTTTTTTTGTTCTTTAGAATAGGATTCGCGTACAAAAAAAAACATTTGTAGTACAAATTTTGTCTGCCGATGGGCCTATTATTTGTTCAGTTCGGATTATTGAGTTTTGTAAAATATATACCAATTCGTTATTATATTATATTTAATTTGATTTGGTTTTAATTTTTTTAGTAATTGTTTTCCGGTTTTTAAATTTTCAATTCGATTCAGCTTCGAGATAGTTGGTTTTGTCACAATATTACTGTTCTAGATTGTTTACGATTCGGTTTGAAAACGATATCGATTTTATCTGTAGTTTGATTTTGAGAACGGCCACACCCCTAGAATTTTGTACGGTTGGTGATTTTTTATTTTATGTTTTGGTTTTATTGGGCATTAAGATATTCATCGCATGCAAAAAATATAAATCATGAGGAAAAAGATTCGTGGACGACATCATTATTGTATTTCTCCCCTGCCGCCTAACCGAACCACAAACGTCTCTGTTGATTTTTCGTTAGGATCTTGGAAATTTAGGGATAATGCATACAACAAAATCTTGTCCTTCAATGCTCCCACTAACCAACCATCTTTTTTGCCTTTGTTGACCCCTCCTCCCTCTCCATGCAATTCCTATTTCTACAATCATATATTAGTAGAATTATGCATTTCATTTTTTTCCATCAAAATTCAATTTCAATTTGAATTCGGTTTTTATTGCTAAAAGTATATATTTTGTGTATAAATTTTACGGTCAAACCCAATTTGTGGTGGTTGAATGGTAGACATTTGAGGTGATCGGATCGCAAATCGATCGTTAGATATTTAAGGTGATCGGTTCGATTCTACAAGAGATGAGATCCATAATTTAATTGTGGTATACAGATTATTTTCATAGATCGTATATTCGTTTGAAATTTCGAATTATAAAAAAAGTTCAAAAAAAAAGAAAAAGATTGTTTTGATTTTTTTATATTAGAATCTATTTAGGTACTATTTCTTTTATTTCGTTAGGATCCGTTTTGTTAGATGTGAATGACCAAATAATTTTTTTTTTGATAATTTAGAAATTCAACGAGTCTTTAATCCGACTATATCTCCCAGAAGACCGGAGAAACCTATGTAAATATCTTCTTTAAGTGAAAATTTGAATTCGGGTTAAAAAAAAAAAACTTTGTTCGTTTTTTTATTGATTGAACCATTCAATCTTGGATCACCAAGTAAATTTATGTATGCTTGTGTGATATTTTCTGATATTATACTTTGTTATTGCACGATTAGGTCCAATTCCGTATAACTATATCCTTCTCTAAATTTAGTATATGTATAATTTTATACTTTGTTATGGTCCATATATCATTTTTTTCTGCAATTATGCAACTTCATTTTTGCTTATCAAAGAAAGTTGGGATCTTTTTTTCCCCATGACAGAGAAATCTGACATAAAGTTACAGCAGAGCAGAAACTCACCATTTATGTTTTTTTCTTTACCAAATTCACTTTTGCAAAAATGACAAATATCTCAGTTCACCATTCAGTCACTCCTATATTCATTTCCCAAGGATTTTGAATTTCGGCTAAGTAAAAAAACTAAGTATATTATAATGCGGTCACATTATATTCTGAAACGTGGACCGACTCCATGTTCCATCCAATGTTGAAACGTACTTAAAAAAAATAAAATTGCTAAATCCGTTTTTAAATGGATTATTGTTCAAAGGAGGATTTTTTTTTTCCTTTATAGCTCCATGGAATCCGACACTTAACAGAAACCAAACCCTCATTTTGGACATAATCTCCACATCCAACAGTCACTTCTCTCGTTACCCTTTCTCCTCTACACTAAACCCAAACTTATTTCTTTTCCAATTTCACTGCAAAAAAAAAAAAAAGAGAGAAGATCGAAATAGAAGAAACGGAAGCATTTCCCTTTCTCTTTACCCTGTGAGCGTTTTTCGTTTTTTGCCCTAATCAGATTAACCCTTTCCAGGGAAATTCCCATTTTCCATGTGTTCGAACTCGGTGGGCATTTGCTAAATCAACTCATTTCGTTTTCCAGATTCATCCTTCAATCAATCTTGCTGATTCCAATCCGTTTCACCACTGCATTCCTGATCGCTTCCGTCTGAAAACAGATCCCCTTCTGATCGATTCCCGACATGTAACTCCTCACTTCCTGCCTTATCATCTCCTGCAGCACAGCCAAAAACTCCTTGCTGAAAAACTGCTCGTCCAATCCCATCTCCCCGCCTCCATGAACCTCCTGAGATGGCGGCGGCGGAGGAGGGGGAGCTGGTGGTAGTCGCGCGAAGCTATGTTTCGGAAGGGGATGATGATGACTCGGCGGGCTGGTGACTCGGTTGGAATCGGATCCGTGACTCATGGGCTCGGACAGCCCGGATCCCGGTAGCGAGAGGCTGAGAGAAGTTGGCGGATCCGTCGCCGGAGGAAGGACCGCGCCAGTTCTCGCCGCCGGTCGGTACACCGGAGAAGCCGACACTGCGCAACAACCTCCGGGCAAACTCGAGTCGCTAAGCTCCGATCCAGCGGGACTTCCTGGATTCAAACTCAGACACGTCGAGAGATTCGTACCGGCGCCGAGGCTCGCCGATCTCTTGAGCGGCTGCTCGAGATCGGCATCGCTGGATCCGCCGTCGGCCATGGATGAGCATTTCCGTTTGAGCGTGGAGTTCCAGTGGTTCTTAATGGCGTTGTCGGTGCGACCATTGAGAAGTCTCGCGATGGTCGCCCACTTGTTCCCGAACCTCGCATGTGCTCTGATGATTGTGTCATCCTCCTCCGCCGTAAACGGCCGGTGCTCCACCTCCGGCGAGAGGCATCGCTGGATCCGCCGTCGGCCATGGATGAGCATTTCCGTTTGAGCGTGGAGTTCCAGTGGTTCTTAATGGCGTTGTCGGTGCGACCATTGAGAAGTCTCGCGATGGTCGCCCACTTGTTCCCGAACCTCGCATGTGCTCTGATGATTGTGTCATCCTCCTCCGCCGTAAACGGCCGGTGCTCCACCTCCGGCGAGAGCTGGTTACACCACCGGAGCCGACACGACTTCCCCGATCGACCAGGGATCGATTTGCTAATCAGTGACCAGTTCCTCGGTCCGTACGTCTGAACTAACCTCTGCAACGCTTCATCTTCCTCAGGACTCCATGGTCCCTTTATCCGATCCGTGTCCTTTGCAGATGCAGACGAAGAAGACGCCATTGACACAAAAAAAAAACCCTAATCTCGCTAATCTAGTTTATACAAACAAATTAGATTAAAAAAAAACAAAGGTATTGATATTGACTTTTCTTTTGTGACGGAAATTCTTTTTTTTTTTTGGTTCTACGAGAGAGGCTTCAGCCTCGCCTCTGTTTCTGAGAAGGAGAGGGGAAGAAGAATAGAGAAAGGGGTATTTATATGAGATGTAGGATAAGGATGACCGGCTGCAGCCGGTGAATGTGACCGGTCATAGCCGTTAAGATTGGAGGAGAGAGGCGGTTACTAACAATGCAGCTGTCGAATGGACACGTGTCGGATCCTGGATTCACTGTTTCTACACGTACGAATCGTATCGCACAACTGCCTTCGTATTTTCAGAAAGAAAAAAAAAAACAAAAAACTGAAAAGGCGTTACGTGCCGTTTTAAGGATTACCGTAACACCGTTTTGGTGGGTCCCGCGATTTCGAAAGTTAATTTTTCAGTTATTTTTAGGAGAATTTTTTTAACTGTTAAATTTTCGATTAATTACGTTAATCTTATTTTGCGGTGATTTGTTGAATATTACGTTTTTAGAATTTAATTAATCCAGTGTGATTGTAAGATATCCAATTCAAATTTGAAAAATTACACTTTCGCTCATATTTGCCAATGTAATTTGCAGAAAGAAATGATAACGCATTTATGCATCACCGAAATATTTTTTAGTAATATTTAAAAAAGAGTCATAAAATAGAAGGAACAAATGGAATTAAAAATGGTAATAATAAGCAAATGAATTAAGAGTGGTTAATTAGTAATAATTAGTGTAGGATACAATGGGGGAGGAGATGGACTTTGACCGTAGACAGCCTGTAAACCATAGAAATATTATTATTATTCATTTGATAGAAAAATAATATTATATGAAATAAAAAATGAATGAATATATCGGGAAAATCAAGAAATCAAGGGACGATTCGTGAGGATGGTGAGCTGGCACGGAAAACGACAAAAGAGAGGAAGTAGCGGAATTAGGGAACGAAAGCGCATAAAAATTTAAAAAATTAATTAAAAATAAAAAAGACAGGCTGTCGAAAATGGGTTCCATCTGGGTAACGTCCAACCGGCAATATAGCAGAAATACCCTTACTTTGCTACATAGACTTCACGGACTACTCTCTAAAATTCTAAAATTTTGGAAAAAAAAATAAAAGGAACAAAAGACATAATTAACCCTCTCACAAAAGTAACGTGATATTCCTCTCTTCATTTTGAATTCATCTCTCTCGTTTTCATTATTTGATAACTCTTCATTTCTTTCTTAACTTCCTCTCTCTACTCTTATATTTCTCTCAACTCTTTCATTTTCTCCCTTCTCATTTCATTTGTATACATAGAAAAACAAACGAAAAATGATTATTTCGTTGAGCATATCCTCACCGACGACCTCATATCTTCTTCTTGAGTCGGTATAAGACAGAACAAATGACAAAAACTGAAGGTAAGTTCATTAATACAAGATATTGGTTCGATGCATAAACTTTGTGTTTTGGGTTTGAGTTTTATGATTTTTAGAGTGAATCGTGTATTTTTTTTTATGAAAATGAGATAGATGCATAGCAAATCTGTCGAAGAATATGCAAGAGGCGCATATTTAATGCCAAATAAATATTTGGAGCAATAATGGAACAGATTGACAAAGGTACGTTACATTGGTTACACCGTCTAAAATTTAATTTTGGTCACACTAGTCACATTGGTCACAGAGGTCACACTGGTCACACTAATCATACTGGTCACACCGTTTAAAATTTGTTTTGGTCACACTGGTCACATTGGTCACACTAGTCACACTAGTCACACTGATCACACTGGTCACACTAGTCACACTGGTCACACCGTTTAAAATTTGTTTTGGTCACACTAGTCACATTGGTCACACTAGTCACATTGATCACACTGGTCACACTGGTCACACCGTTCAAAATTTAGTTTTGGTCACACTAGTCATATTAGTCATATTGGTCACATTAGTTACACTAGTCACATTGGTCACACCGTTCAAAATTTAATTTTGGTCATACTGGTCACACCGTTCAAAAAATTTAATTTTGGTCATACTGGTCACACCGTTCAAAATTTAGTTTTGATCACACTGGTCACACCGTTCAAAATTTAGTTTTGGTCACACTGGTCACACTGATCACACTGGTCACTTGGGCACACTGGTCACACTGGTCACACCGAAAAATTTTAAAATTCACGCGAAAAATTTAACTTTTTGTGGTGGAGGGAGTTTTAAAAATTTTAAAATATTTAAATTTTTTCCTAGGGAACCGAAAACTGTTCTCTCTCTTCTGTTTCTGTCATTGGGACCCACACCAATGGGTATTATAGGAATAACATAATTATAAGGGTATGTTTTGAACTAACTTTTTTATTTATTTTTGCAAGGGTATGCTTTGAAATCTTTGTAGCATAATAAGGGTATTTTTGATAAAAGCCCCGTCCAACCATCGATACCGCCACGTCACCATCACTGTCGTTTTCCTTCCCTCTGATAATCGAACCGCCTAAACCGACCTCACCGTCATTAACTGCTCCTCTCTCCCCTTATTTAATTTTAATTAATTAAATTAATTATTATTATGTTTATTGTTTAGACTTCCCGTCACACGTGAACCGGATAATCCAACATTTAAGTTGATTGATCTGCGTTATAAAATCTGCTAAGATCGATTAATAATTCTTGCAATTTATTGACATTTTCTTTTTCTATTTGGACGGTCGAAATATTCCAATGTCAAAGGGTTAATTATTTTGAAAATAATCGTGTGACTCTATAATATTTATTTACACCTTCATGCATCATCATATTCTAATATTAAATTATGATTAAAAAAATCTAACACCTATGTGCCGATTTTTTTAATCATTATCGATAAGATAACAAACTGCGGATAAGAATCCTATTTCTATGGTTCGGTATGAAATGTATATTTTAAAATTTCTAATTAAATCAAATTGGCACGAAAATTGTGATTTGAGAAAATATAGAGAATTTCTAATTAAATCAAATTGACGCGAAATTGACACCTGTGCATATTTTAGAAAAAAGAGCTTTTTAATCATTTATTATTTCATTTAACTAAGAAATACTAAGGAATTGTCTAAAAGATTTAGGCGATTACATTACGATGAATTTTCAAAATTTATTTAATTATCCTCCAATTAATTTCAAGAGGCCATACAAAAAGAGGAAAAGAAACAAGTGAAATTAATTGGAGAAATTTAGAAAATATATATATAAACAAAAATAAAAGACGTGTGATATTTACACGGGAAAACAGCTGGCTGAAGAAGGGGCTGTTTGTCACGTGCCACACGCTTTCGCTCTACCTAAACCGGACTGTCCTTTAACCGTACCAGAGAGAGAAAGCCCCTCTCTCTCCACGTGACAACTCCACCGCACGTGTGTATATCACGTGACCCCTCCTCGGTCATATTTGCATTTTCTTTTATGATTAGATTTTGACGTGATTTAAAATATACTACAAATATATTAAACTTTAAAACTTACTGATTAAATTCTATAATTCGAATATATAAATTATAATATCTGAAATATTTATCAATAGTATTATCTATTACCATTTCTATTATATTTATTATTCAATACATAAAAGTTATATCTTTTTGAGAGATGCAACATGTCTTTGTTACCACCCAAGTTTGGGTGGCCTAGTGGTGAGAGAACATACAAAACATTCTCTCACCCTGGATTCAAACCCAAGCGTGGAGAGAGACATTTATATGACTTTTCTGATTCTTTGGGAGATGTAGTCGGGCCAAAGGTCCGGTGAACTTCCGGATTATAAAAAAAAACATGTGTTTGCTACCTAACTTTTTTTGGATAATTGAATGTTTTAGACCGAGATTTATATTAATAATGGAATCGAAAATAAATTATATGATTGAAATTATATTCTTTTCTCCAAATCAAAATTCAAATTCAGACAGATATTTTATATTTATATTTCATTGATTGAACTATCCAAAATGAGTTTTGTACATAAACGTAGATTTTTATTTAGTAATAATACACTAAAACATAGTTAAAGTTTTAAAGAAAAAAAAATACCTTTTTAACGTCCATCTAACTCTTAGATACAAAAACAAGATGAATTAGTTTATAAAAAGAAAAGATGAAGATCCATGGGAGTTAGTGAAAAGAAATCGATATGATACAAAAATATAAAGAGATAAACATTATATATATATATATATATATATATATATATATATCTCTTAGCTTGGGAAAGTGGATCAAAAGTGGGCACGTTTGTTTCTGGTATAACTTTTAGAAGCTAATGTTTTTTATTTATTTTGTGCTTTGGATTCCTACAAAATCATGATATATGCATATATATATATATATATATACATGCAACTTGGTGTTCGTTTTTTAGATTTTTTATCCTTACCGGGAATTAATGGATGTGTCGGACAAAAATTTTTATGGTAGCAGGTGGAAACTGCACCATATATAATTTAATTAATTAATATAAATTATGATAAAGATGGGATTAAAGGGTTTGTTAATTAGGCACTTAGTGCGATGCTCACATGGTACGGTTCGGCGAGAGGATGATGTTTCCTCGAAGTAAGGTGCCTTCGCTTTTATGCACACAACACATAATCCCCATTTTATAATCTTAATTTCAATTTATAAATAATTTATTATCTACGCATATTTTTTTTTGGTCTAACGGAACATGTAAATAAGTAGACGTCCTTATTGGTCTATTGCAACTTTTCACCAACTTATTGAAATATTAAGTAAAAACATTACTGTGTTATAAGAAAAAAAAATCATAAAATATGTCTAAATGTGCCATATAATCACTTCATTTTTTAAATTGGTAAATAAATACAACAATTTGATCATTTTATATCAAATCAACACCGTATCTATTTGACACAGATTGATACAATTGTCAATTAATTATATATCATCAATTTGGTATCTATTTTGTAAAAATTGGAGTATTTATATAGTAATTTTTAAATTTGGTATTTATATTTGGTATAAATTGATCAATTTGAGATATTATTTAGTAAATTAAAAGTTGAGGAATTCATATAATATATTTAGACAGAACGTCCTATATA